TCTCTCCTCTCTCTCGCTCTGTCTCTCTCTCTCTCTCACACACACACACACACACCAACACACACATACACCACGCACACACACACACACACATATACACCACACACAACACACACCACACAACCACACACACACACACACCCGCGCGCGCGCGCAGCACACACATACACAGCACACCACACATACACATTGCCACACACACACATACGTATATATAATATATATATATATCATATCCGTAGTATATGACTATATATATTATATATATATTCTTTTTTAGAAATCAGATGCGCGTATGTGCAAAAATGGCTGTCTGACTATTTTTGGAGTGCTGATTCCACCTAATGAAACAGATGAGTGGAGAGTGAACGAGCAGTTCCGATGGTGCGCAATCTTGGTTAGTCTGTTGAAAAGATTACTTCGCGGTGAGCTTGGATAGGATGACACGGGACCATAATACTTTATAAATAAATTACTATAATCTATTATTACTATGTTTTACATTGTATATTTCACACCATAAATAAGCGACGAGCGAGGGGCGAGAGAGAGAGAGAGAGAGAGAGAGAGAGAGAGAGAGAGAGAGAGAGAGAGAGAGAGAGAGAGAGAGAGAGAGAGAGAGAGAGAGAGCGAAAGAGAGAGAAAGAGAGACAGAGACAGAGGCAGAGAGAGAGAGAGAGAGCGACCTCTCAACAGATCTATGAAGGAGATGTGATGAGGTTAGAGACATGCAGGTGTATTAGTCGGACCAATGAATCAGCGCCTCTGTCGTTCTCTCTCCGTCTGGACCCCCGGGGCGTAACGGCAGCGACGGTAGCCCGGGGGCGGCGGGGAGACATGGCCGTGACGGGGAAGCTGGACCACAAGGCTCGACAGTAAATATACCGCTCCTGCTAGCAGTTATATCCATCTATTGTCGCGCCTATAGTTGCTGTCCGTTGCTATACGCGTGTATTTTAGTGCCCGACTGTATTCCTGCCAAGCAAAATATCCTGCATATATGTACATCTAGGGTCCAGTTGGACCGCGTGGTCCTCAGGGAGAGAGAGGGAGTCCGGGAGTGACGACAGAAATGTCTTCTGGTGGTTTGACTAATGAGGAGGAAATCGACATGATACGTCAGCGAGTAGAGGCGCAAATATTCTCTAACTGTAAGTAGGAGTTATATCGCTATCATGTGACATTGGAGTGCCTGCGAGTTTAATACTTTATATAACAACGAATATTTAACATAACAGCGCTTGGTTAATAATTAAATGTATTTTCCCCTTTTCCTTTCAATTTGTGACAATATATATATAATATACAAGTGTAAGTAATATAGTAGTTAAACTGTCTAATATCCCAATCCAAATACGCAACACCACTTTTTAAATAATAGCAATTGTTTTTGACTTGATTCTATATAGTTTAATATATTACAATTGTCAATACCGATGTGCATACTAATATATTCTACTATATAAACTATTACAATTATATCTGACTCATGTCGTGAAATGAATAACAACGAATAACTCACATGACACAATGAATACGAATTAGAGATAAAGAAATTGCAAAAGCATAATTTGCGCCTCTTATAATGGTTTAATTTAACATGTAATTATGCCCAATAGATCGCGCCAACGTAACCCATGGTGGAGCCATGTACGTGAGATAGGGAAGAACGACTTGTCCAGAAACTGGTGCAGAACTCGTCTATAACGGTACCATATATATATTACAAATTATTGCAGGGCCTCATCCTCAGTGATGATGAAGCGGCCAATCCTTAGATTTCTAGGAAACGAAAATATATGCCGAATAAATGTAAATTATCATAAACTAGTGCAAGTGATCATGTCGTCATTGTGAAACCCCTCATTCCAGACCCTCTCGCCACAACATGCAGTTTAACTGGAAACTGCGCCCCTCCATTGTTATTACCGAGCCGAAGCACGAAAATGCAATCTTCCCCCAGGAACTAGTTTAAACAACGGTTCTTTATTGACACGCGTTCCGTAGAAACTGCAGTTCCTTCCAATCAGCGTACAATATATAAAAATTGATTGAGGGAATGACATGCCGATACTTTTACATGCATCGATTAGGCGTGGCAGGCAGTGCTCACTTCAATCACGCCGGGGGAGGTGGGAACTACCAATGTCTGCCCGCAGTCCCGCAGTGGGGCAGGTTCAAATATGGATTCCAGTCAGGCAGTTACATGTAAGTCCTAAACGTTTGTTTTATTTCCGAGACGAATGAATGAGTGAATGAATTAATGAGTGATTAATCACGGAATTAGTGCATAAATGAGCAAGCGAGCGAGCGAGCACACGAGCATAAAAGTGTGAAACTTTTAAACGCCATTTATTCGTGTCAGAAAAAGTAGGCCGACGCTACGGCTTTAAATGTATTATGGATTATGATCGCGTCAAATCTTCAATCGCGGTAGGTATGGAGTGGAATACGAAGTCAATGTATTCAACCCGTTCCTGTCGAGTCATCTATCAGGCAAGCAGTTACATGATCAGAACGCTGTGTGCGCAGTGTGCCGTGTACCCGATCGTGCCAGCGAACAAATGATCCCTGCCTGGAACACATGCCCTCCGAGTTGGTCACTAGAATACCATGGGTATGAAAGATTTGAGTATACTACTAATAATAATATTATCAAGAGCCCAGAAACTATAGTTTATGGCTTGTTAATACGTATAATACTGGGCTAATGAGTGAGGAACACTAAAATAAACAACCACTATTAAAAATATATGACAATAGACTGATCGGTATGGATAGACTAGACGAGTAATCAATAAATTAACATCTTGCTTTACATAAATACACGTGTTATGTCTCGCTGGCGACAAATTGCAAGTTCGTACCTGGTAGCGATAAAGATGACGGCAGCGTGAATGTTGCTGCTAGTTGTTGTATTTACTTGCTTATAGCAACTGCATAAAATATTGCGATATTCACTGCAATGGATAATCCTAATATTCGCCCTTGTATGCTCCAGCTACCTCATGTCGTCGCACAACCAGCTAAAGGGTCGGTCAAACTTTGTGTGCGTGGATGAGGATCCAGAGGCGAATCCGTCGGGAGATGGAAACGAGAACGGAGGTCTGTGGTACCCCGTGGAGGTTAAATGCGGGTCACTGCCATGTCCAAACTACGTGAATGGACGGGAGATCACCTGTGCTGTCTGCACTAAGTAGTGCACATATATCACTCACTGTATCATTCGTAACTCGGCTTGACGATCTGGATTAATACGTACCGATTAAGATAATCGACTCAGTAGATTAGAAAATAGGATGCAAATACGGACTACCTTCCAAATACATAATATTATCGAAATTATCAAGAGCGTATTAAGTTAGGTTATTATACTTAATACGCTCTTGAAATTATCTATTGCAGAAAATCATGTAATTCCTTATGCGATTAGTTATTTTGGTTATGGTCAACCCGATAAATTTTCCGTATGCAATTCTTATTGACAATTAAACATTCCCTATTCACATTATTCTCAGACAATATTCATTATGCGTGCATGGGTATCGGCTGAAGAAACCAAGTAAGTGGTTTGCTCGATGTGTGTGTTACAAGTTCGCGGTTTCCACACGTATTGATGCATGAGCATTACTTAGTAGTTAGCAGCACAGAGTTCTTAGCTGACACCTGCTAGTTTAGGCAATAGCCGCAATACTAACTAATTTGGTGTGTGCGTATGCCTGTGTGATGCGTACACGAGTGAGAAACACGGATAAACTGGTCTGGCTTGACCGAACAAGCAACAATATTTGAGCAGGACGTGATATTGACTTTGATTGATAGGTCAATGATTGATAACATAAGACTATGTCATTGCGTGCACTCAGTATCAATTCATTTCATTAAACATTTAGTGCAAGGCATAAAGAAAAACGATAACAACCGGCATGTTACTTACCACGATAATATTAAATAACCAATGATATGCATGTTACCACGATAATATTAAAGCAACTACAAAACGCAACTGCCGAGTGTCGACAGCTAATGAGATATTTAACAATTCATTCTTCTATAGTGCCTTGATTTGTTTTACATGGTAGCACTACCATTAAACGCAGCTTAATAGTAATTAAGTCAAACATATATGTCCCTACATGGGAGTCAATAAGTTACTAAAAAACAATTTATTTATCCAAGAAAATTATCAACTACTTAAATTTCAGTGTACATCAGATTTTTCTGCTGTTTAATTTCAATTGTGACTGGAAATAATTGTGACTGCTGTGAAATAAATGGGATTCTTTAATTGAAAGAACTACTTCGTCGATATCATTGTTAGCAATCGATCAATCGTGGGCCTTCTAGCAATCGACCAATCGTGGGCCTCTTAACAAGCGACCAATCATGGTCCTTCTAGCAATCAACCAATGGTGGCCCTTCTAGCAATCGACCGATTGTGAGCCTTCTAACAATTGACCAATCGTGAGCCTTCTAACAATTGACCAATATCGGCCAATAGTGGGCCTTCTAGCAATTGACCAATCGTGGGCCTTCTAGCAATTGACCAATCGTGGGCTTTCTAGCAAATCGACCAATCTTGGGCCTTCTAACAATCGACCAATCGTGGGCCATCTATCAATCGACCAATCGTGGGTCTTCTAACAATCAACCAATCGTGAGCCTTCTAGCAGTCGGCCAATTGTGAGCCTTCTAACAACCGACCAATCGTGGGCCTTCTCACAATCGACCAATCGTGAGCCTACTAACAATCACCCAATCGTGAGCCTTTTCACTGTCGACCAATCGTGAATCATTTAAACATCGACCAATCATGAATCTTTTAGCAATCATCGATTATGAATTAATCATCATCCATCATCATCATTAAAGGGATAGTAGACTCTAGGATTTTACTGCATACAACTGTACTTACTGTATAACAAATCGTCTATACCCACACGTACTTGTTACCAGATACCTAATTTAATTGTTATAATTAATTATACATCAACGCTACGAAATGTGACCGGCGCCATTGACAGCCGCGACCCTGCTGCCACCCTGAAAAAGTTGCGCATTTGCCAATTTATTTTGCACGTTACAGACCGAGGGCTAATCACAAAAGTGCAATTATATTTATACCTAAATGCTATTTAACCGAACGACCGATGTTCATTTTAGGACAAATTTATCCATAATATAACTGAAACTATATGTCGTTTATAAGATATTACAATCCTTTTGCTTTAAAATTAATAAATAAGAAACACCCTCGGTCTGTAGCCCTTGGCTGAAAATTCGTTTTGCGCAACTTATCAGATTGTGCGCTTTGAGTGGCGCCACCGTCGTTGTAATCAAACTGTAGTCGTTAGTTTTAAAACATTTTTTAATAATATTTCTAATGGTGATTGAACCATATGAAACTTTTTATGTAGCGTAATTTTAACCTAAATTAACTGAATATAACCCTAGAACCTAGAGTAAACGATCCCTTTAATCATTAATTATTAATCTCACACTGTCACTTACCTTACTTACGTTACTTTTCTTCACATTCTTAACCTAACCTTTTAATTGTACTTATAGTTTAAGTAGGGGTCAACAGTTTGTTTGTGATGGTGGCTTAATATCTCTATGCGGAATCGCCTAATGCTCACCCTAGACCTATGTAAAATTCCTCAAAATAATAATAATCGCTAATGCACTATTTGTCGCTGTCATTATTTGTTGTTATTTTCATAGCATTATGTCTAAACTCTAAAAGAACTTGAAAATTCTGGCAGTGGTCACAGCGCCCTGCCTTTTCTACTGAGCATAGATCGAGGCCCCATTTTAAAACAAAAGATTTTTGCTTGACTCTAATGCATCTGTGTTCATTATTGCCACACGAAATTTCAACATGACGGTCAAGATGTCTTTTCCACGTGTGATTACGCATTTGATAGCAATACACGGGAGTAGGATTGTTAGAGCAGCCAATTATTCTCACCGTGGAGGAGTAGGCTACACTGCGTTGGGGTTGGCTGCAGTCCTCAATAGAGAGACATTGAACTCCGCTGGAATGTCGGTAAAACCGAGGATCTTGGACCAGTGGCGTAGCTAGGATTTTTCCAGCGGTGGGGCACTGGGGGGGCCTTACATTTTCGTGGGGGGGGGGCACAATATATTAAACTTTTCTTTGTATTATACGTTCTAACGGCATGTTTTCAATTCAATTTTTTTTTATCAAGCATGAATTTTTAGTGGGGGGCACAGAAAATTTGTGGGGTGGGCAAAGGCCCCCCGTAGCTACGCCCCTGTCTTGACATACCGGGACCACGAGTATACATCGCACATGTGAATAAGGCACGAGGGTATCTAGGTTAATCGATTTCGGCGAATTACTGAACGCTTTTATAAGGACGTCGCGTGCACGTATGTGTATGGTTAATACGATTTACACTTGTCGCATCAGATTACGATAATACGTTTATATAAGTAATGTAATGTAATGTGATGTGACATGATGTGGATGTAATGTAATGTAATGTAATGTTGATGTGACATGATGTGATGCAATGTAATGTAATGTAATGTAGTGTTATGTAATGTAATGTATGTAATGGAATTGTAATGCTAATATGATAGTAGCTTAGGGCTGTTCACGACGCTACCGTTTGGTGAGTATCGCAGCTCTTACAATGTAACAAAACTCTCCTACGATTTGTCCAATGTCTAATGCAGGGTTCAAGCTAGCGCCGGCATCCATCACAATGTCCGTCGCAAAAACGTATTAGTATGTGAATCGGTACTGACTGGTATATGCAGCGGGGACCTACGTGCAAGGGGCTTCTTCCTATTTCTCTAATGAGTTCTACTGATAAGAATGTTGTCATGAAAATCTTATGCTAGGATAACTCCTCTTACACGAGCACCGTTTCAGCGCGAGCAGTGCGGACTGAAGAAAACGGTGTAACATAGCGTGCTGAGAGAGAGAGAGAGGAGAGAGGAGAGAGCGCGAGAGCAGAGAGAATAGAGAGAGAGAGAGAGAGAGAGAGAGAGAGAGCTGAGTGGCTGACCGAGGAAAGGCGGCAAGGAAGATAGCTGGTGGGGAGTAGAAGAAGCAGGAGCGCTGCAGCGAGGACAGGGAGGCAAGTGTCAAGGACGTGGAGCGGCATAAAGTAAGTGTTTGTTACCCTACAGGCTAGGGCGCTCTCCTAATTATAAAGACAGGTCTTACTGATTAATAATTATTTAGAAATCTTATGATGAGATACCCCTAAACATATTAAATGCATATTCATCACAAATATATAACTCTCTCGTAGATATATTGCGCATGCGCTAACACACTAACGTAAGCCAGATGCTGCACTGGCTGGTGTATACGCAGCGGAGACCATACATTGCAATGTCTTCCTGCTATTCTTAAATGATGTCTACTGATGAAATTTTATCATAGAAATAATTCTAGGATAACAACTCCTCTTCATTTTAAATGTATAATCTTCGCCAAAAAAATTAGTCTTCTCGTGAGATATTGCACATGCGCGCGCACCGTGTCAGGCGTGCCATTACCGGTCTGAAGCAAACTTCATAATATAGCTTACCTGAGAGAGAGAGAGCTGAGTGGCTGACCGAGGAAAGGCGGCAAGGAAAATAGCTGGGGGCGTAGAAAAAGAGGGAGGCTGAGCGAGGGACATGGGAGGCAAGGGGAAGGACGCGAGGGCATAAAAGAGGTGTTTTGTACCCTACAGGCTAGGGCGCTCTCCTAATTATAAAGACAGGTCTACTGATAATAATTTATTAGAGAAATCTATGATGAGATACCCCCTAACCATATTAAATGCATATTCATCACAAAATATAACTCCTCTGCTGATATATTGCGCATGCGCTAACACACTAACGTAGCCAGATTGTGTACTGGCTGGTATACGCAGCGGAGACCATACATGCAATGTCTTTCTGCTATTTCTTAAATGATATCTACTGATGGAATGTTATCATAGAAATCTATTCTAGGATAACTCCTCTTCATTTTAAATGTATAATCTTCGCAAAATATTAGTCTTTTCGTGAGATATTGCACATGCGCGCGCACCGTGTCAGGCGTGCATTACTGTCTGAAGCAAATTTCATAATATAGCTTGCTGAGGGAGCGAGGGAGTGGGAAACCGAGGAAAAGCGGCAGGGAAGATAACTGAGGCGGTAGAAGAAGAGGGAGGCTGAGCGAGGAACAGGGGAGGCAAGGAGAAGGCCGCGAGGGCATAAAGTAGGTCTTTTTGTACTCTATAGGATTGGGCGCTCTCCTAATTATAAACACAGGCCTACTAATAAAAATTTATTAGAGAAATCTATGATGAGATACCCCCTAACCATATTAAATGCATATTCATCACAAAAAGTATCAGAGGATGGCGAATCATCATTCCAGAAACACTGAGAAAGAAAGTAGTCCAGTTAGCTCACGAGGGACATCCTGGTATCGTGAAGACGAAGCAACGGCTACGTTCTAAACTTTGGTGGCCTGGCATCAACCGAGACGCCGAAAATGTTTGCAGGACCTGTCGTGGATGCCAGTTGGTAGCAAAAGCAACCTACCCTGAGCCAATGAAGCGGGTTGAGATGCCTACGTTACGTTGGCAGGATACAGCTGCGGACTTACCAGGTCCAATGCCTGAAGGGGAGTATATCCTGGCTATCGTGGACTATCATAGCCGTTTCTTTGAAGTTGCTATTATCAAACAGGTAACGTCCGAGAACGTGATCCGATGCCTGAATAAGATATTTGCAACCCACGGATATCCGCTGTCACTAAAAACTGATAATGTTCGTCAGTTTGTCTCAGAGGAGTTCAAGTCTTACCTTGAAGAAAATGGTATGGAGCATAGAGTTAGTCCGCCTCTGTGGCCACAAGCCAATGGGGAGATACAGCGGCAAAACAGGACTTTGCTGAAATCGATACGTATCACACACGCACAGGGTATAAAGACTGGAAAGACGAACTATACAAATCACTACTGTCATATAGAACTACACTCCACGAGACAACGGGTGAGATTCCATCCAAAACACAATGATGTTTGGGTCGAGATCCGATCGAAGGTTGCCGGAATACCGCGTGAGCAAGATACAGAGAGAACTATCTGGCACGAGATCGTGATGCACAATGTCAACGAAGGGCAAGAATTTGCAGACGCAAAGGAGAATGCAAGGATGATTAGTGATTTGGTAGTGGTGATTGTGTATGATGCAACGAACCACCAGACGTAATTA